CAAGGCCATAAATAACCTTCATACAAGGAGGGCAAAAACACTCTTGAAGAAGCCCACGCCGGCCCGATTAGTTCTTTTCTGATCCTCCCAGGCAGTGCTCCCGTCGTGTTCGATGGCTGATAATGGCAGGGATGTGGACATGGCAGCAACACGCCTACGCGGTGGGTTTTGTTGTACTTCAAGCGTGCTCGATGATTCTACCTCGCGCCAGACGTGCTTGAGATTCGATGCCTAATATGCAAGCTGATATGCGCGCCCCACCAAAAAGCTGGCAAAGGTGCTGGAGGCAGGCGTTGCTCCCTGGCTCGAGGATCATCTTCTCTAGTACCCCGTACAGATACTAGTACTGTACTAGTACCTATTGCAAACAGTCGCGAGCTGCAGTGCAATTCCTCTCCTCATTCTGTGAAACACACAGCTCCATGCTTCGTTCGTCACTCGTCTTTTGCATTGGGGTGCTTCTGGCTGCGGCGATTTGCGACGAAATTTCGGCGCTGGCCAAACCACACCCGATGCCCTCCGAGGAAGACACTGCTCACTAAAGACATCGCTGACAACTACACTTAAAACAATTAACGTGCTGCTCGATAACATACCATCTCTCGTTTTCATTCACTGGCTTGTGGTTTCCAAAGACGACTCAACACCCTCCACAAGGCTGATAAGGTGGACTGAAACTTAGAGTGGGACAGACCTACGAATCTGCCCTCGCCGTTCCACGGTGGCGATGCACAGGCGACGCAAGACCTGGTCTGCCGTGATCGCAAATGTACAGTATCGACATCAACAACATCGTATTTCGTATCACTTCAGCATCGAAGTTCCGTCGGGTGGGTGTCGTGCTTCTACTTATCGCCCGTCGCCGGCTTTCCTACTCCTCGTCGAGACGTCTTTGTGCAGCGGAAATTTCCAAACCACGTGGTCTAACCTCCTGTCTGGATCAGTCACCGCACTGTTTTCGTTGCACAGCTAGGCGACGCATGCGCCAAACGTATAGCTGCTTTCATTCATGCTTGACGTTCCTCGTGGCGATGCATTCGATAGTCGTCGTTCCTGCATCGCGATATATAGACCCAAGCTGGACGTTGCAGGCCGCGCAGTTATACAGGCTTGTAAGAGTCTGATACGAAAGCCTTGCTTCATTCACATGCTTTACCGCTGCGTGGGTGCTTCGGGGAAGCCAACGTCGTCGTCGCCTCCGCGACCGCTCGGCTGCGCTGGGCTACCATGTGTTCTGGCCGCATGTTTGGCATGCGGTGCGCCTGATTCGTCTTGGAATTTGTATGTCAATGTCTGGAATGACGACCACCGTTCGATGTTGAATCTTGGGCTGCGATGGTAGGAAGCCGATACCCATCCCCGTGCACTGCGTCGTGCGTGGCGCGAGACTGGATCGTTGCTCGTTTCGACGCGCACCGACCACGGACCAGGGACGACGACTCGTCGACGATGTGACCTGCCCAAGCAAGCGCCATTGCCACGATGCAGATGCCATCGATTCTCCATACCGAGCAAAAACACACAGCTCCACCCACTGCCATGGTCTCCGCGGCATGCAGCCCAAGCCGAGCCTGCGTCGCAACCGCTCGACGGCATGTGGGTGTTAATTTGGTCAACCACGGTATGTACAAGGCAACTGTGACCAGCAGCGCGCGCATACAAAGCCCAAGACTAATTCACGTTGGAGTGACTCTCTTCTCGTGTCAGTGGGACGCGGTCGTATCAGTGGGACGTGTCGTGTCATCGTGCGCTAGCTGAACAATGTACAGCGCTACTCTGCAGGCGCTTGGCAGTGACGGCGGTCTGGGCGGCTACTGTGGCACGGCATGGAAGATGTGGCTCTTCTCCTGGTCACGCCGTGGCTGGCGGCTTGTCGCGCGACCGACCTCTGCCCAGTGCGCGCTACAGAGGAAGGAGACGCAGTCTAGGAGGCATGCGAATAGTCTTTTTGAAGCCGTGGTGTACGCAGTGCTTGAGTTGTCTCTGTAGCGATGGTGGGTTCACGACACGCATGCAAGGCCATGCCGTACCGCACTCTGCGGTACTCACACACCAGCGTGCATCGATGCAACGAAGGAGTTTCTCTTCTTAGGGCTAGGGTGCTACACGAGGTACCCACAGCTCTGGGGCCGCA